ATGCAATACTAATCATATCTAACAATCATCCGTCAGAGTCCTGCACTGGTTTCTTTTTAACCATAAGTGCTGTTTTGTAAAACTAAACAAGAAAATATGTTATACATTTATGAATAAACAATAGCATGGTGAATCACCAGGACTGGTGAATCACCAGGACAAGCATTTTGGCTGAGCGCAACATATTAATGGGTAGGCCAGGGGGGGATATAAGCTGCAAAAACACAGCATATCCATAACTGATATGTTTGCTAAGATTACCCTGATAGAAAAATAAGCTTATGTTGTGTTTCGGATGCAGGTATGCTGGTCAGCTTCAGGGGAAGCTGGGCCCAATCATAGTGCCACAATCTATACACTCACTGAACACTGCATTAGGAACATCTCCTTGTTTCTATGCTGTTTGTCCAGTATAGCAGCTTCACTTACTAAAGAGGCACACTTTGTAGTTCTACAATTACAGACTGTGTATCTCTGCATACTCTGCATACTTTGTTAGCCCCCTTTTACCCTGTTCTTAACTGGTCAGGACCCCACAGGACCCCCACAGAGCAGGTATTGTTTGGGTGCAATGACACTGGTGTGGTGGTGGTGTGTTAGTGCGTGCAGCAAGCAAGGAGGTGAATTTCATATTTTAACTGAATTTTCAGGATTTTTCAGAGTACAATCCTTGGTTCCCCTGAAGTAGCATTAGTTAGTTAGTTATACTGTAAAAAGTAAAACAGGGCAGAAGTTGACTTGAAGTGTTTTTGATGTTTGAATTGAAATAAATTATAGCTTTTGTTTGTCTTTCTTACTTACTTTGTATTTTGTTGTGTCATTCAATATTATTTTGAATTCTGAAGTTTATTTAAAAAAATAGAGAAAAAAATTGAGTATCAAAATGTAAACACCAAATCAAACCTTATTTCTCAAGCAAGGGTAGGAAGCTTTTATTCAACAGCCAAACAGCCTGAAAACCATGTTTTCAGTGTTCCATCCAAAGTATCGCCTGCAAAAATGTCTGGCTTGGCTAGAACTGCTGTTGGTGCTAAATAGTTGTTTGGCTGTTGTACTTTGTTAGCTTCAGATGTGCTATGCAAAATAATCACCTGCCTAACTGATCCAACATCGCTCTCTCCGTGAGCCAGACTGAAGTTCACTCGTTGCTTTAGAAGCCTCATTTTCTTCTTGTTTTATGTCCTCTCGTCTTTCTTTTCTCAGTTTGGCAGTGAAAGCCATTTTAAGCTGTGGCAGAATTTACAGTTTTGGTGTTATTTTCTTTGTCTTTATTTCTTAGAGGAACTAACCAGATTGCAGTGGGATGCAAAATGTCAGGAAAATGTTGCTGACATTGAAAAGAACATTTGATTTAAAAATCACTAACTCACTGACTGCTTTGGACAGTTATTGGTTGGTTTTTGCTTGGATTGGGCAGGGAAGAGAACTTGGGTTGGTTTGTTCTGCTTAGAAATTAAATCAATGACATACATAGAATTAATAAACTGCAGTGCTTAAAAGCTTTACATTTTTAAAAGTTTTACATTTGTGACAACTTGAGGACACTGGTGAACATTTATTCCCACAAGCTGAGTTAACTCTAAGAAGCTGTGAAATAAGTTGTCTTAAAATTTTAAGTTTTTTTTTACAGTGTGAGCAGTGAATTAGTATAGCACCCTAGGACATCTCTCCACAACTGACCAGTTAGCAAGTTAGCAGCCTCTAAACAAGAACACAACGCTTTCCATTCCTCCACAGTAGAACTGACCAAATCTATTAATAGTACTTACTATAAACTTGATATTTATTATCAAGTTTATCTAATTCTGACATGACTTTATTCACTGGACTGGTACCACTCATATTTTCCCACTTTTTACACTTATGATATTTGTGTCATATATGTACTAAAATTATTAATTATTAATTTTTACATAACGTTTTTCTAACATTTTTATATCCCTTATACAAAGATATTCGGACCAATCGTAGACACAGGGTCCTGAGATCCCCATCTTCTACTCTCTGAAATTTTTATTCCTACCAGCATTTCATTCCTATTCTCAACAGTGTGGTTCTACCATGGAAGAGAGACCTTTCCATTCTGTATGAACGGTGGTGTTTCCAATGCAGATACCAATTGCCAAGAGTCTAGCGAATTCGGGAGTCATAGTTGCTGAATGAATGTGGTCAGGCTAGGCCTTGTATTTATATGTATTCGCTTATCCAGATATATAAATTTCAGGTGGAAATAGAAGTGACTGGATGGTCAATGTGTAATAAACTGTAAAACATGTAATTTAGCTTGTAGTTGCATCTAATTTAAATTAATTAACTTTGATTAATGAAATTTATTTTATATTTAGATACATATTTAATAAGATACATATTTAATAAGATACATATTTAATAAAGACTTTTAAGAAAAAATCAGCGATACATAAATAGTATTTGTTTTGGCTGTTACGTTGTCTTGTCAGAAGCTGGTCCATGCACACAGCCACACATGACAACCCCTGTGAGACCTCGGACACACCCATAAGAGACAAACTTGGAGCAACGTAAGCAAATTGTCACCTGCCAGTGTGAACGTAGGGTCAGAAGTGTGAATGCAGGATAAGGTGCCAGAATGTAAATGCTGCATCATTTAAAGTGGAACGGGAACATGCAAATGTCCTTATCAAGAAATGCTCCCAGCATTAATAATTATTAGGCTATTCTGATTGCCTAAATCAGCTTATCAAGGGGTATTAATATTAGGCATATGTACAGATTATTAGAAGTATGTACTGAATTAACATTAAAAACACAATAAAACATTTACAACACTGAGCTACTATGCTGTACTAATGTTATACACATGCTCAGTAGGACCGCTCGACAGCATTTTTATCACTTTGTGGTTTGTCAGCCTTCAGGATGATCAGAAGAGTATTAAAAGATGTGAAAACCTCTTTCAGTCTGGTCATGTTAAGTTGTGTAGCCTGAGCAGAGCCGGTTTATGAGGAGCCTGGCCTCTTCCTATTTCCCCCATTTTATCAAAAACAGGACTGCAAAATGCTAGAAGGCGCCTGTGAGCGAGACCTCAATGAATGGGGGTGAATGGAGTTAAACACTTGCCCAGAACCTTCCTTTAATTTTAGGACGTACACTAAAAAAGCAAAGAAAACTAAACTGTATGTTTCCTTTTTTCTACAGCAAACGGGTTTTGGGCAGCAGGACGTTAGCATTACTGTTACTGAGTGCTGATTGGATGGTGAGTGAAGCAGCTCATTGGCTGTTCGCGCTCACTGACGTTATGACTGTAAAGGAGGTGCCGTTTTAAACTCCTATAACTCGAGTTCAAAAGCGTTCAAAAATATAACAACGTTGTTAAAATGTTTTATGCTGTTCTGTGCTTAGTAAATGAATGTATTGTTTTATATTAAAAATGTTTACAAATTTATAAACTATGATTTTGCTCAAATGCTCCATCTTAACCCATTCATTTTGGACTCACTCGGGAGCGCCCTATAGCATTTGAGAAACCTGGAAGACATTTCAGAGTGATTATTCTCCTCTCTACAAGTTTTCTGGCCTGAGTGCGGGTCAGCTTGTAGGGCTACCACACTAGCAAAGTGTGCTGGTATGTGTTGTTGTTTAAGGAGGCTGCAAGTCTAGTGATGTCAATTCAGTGCACAGTAGCATTCGCTTACATGTAGCATATTTCAACTTTTAAAGGACCTCGTTGATCCAGTGATATTCGAGGGAAAAATGATCATAGGACAAAACGTATCAGTTTTGGAACATTTTTGATTACCACGGATGCAACAGGGACATTTTTCAAAAACTCCATTCATTTTTTTTCATTCAGAAATTCCTTTTAGGAATTCCTTTTTATGTGAGTAAAAAATTCAAGGATATCAGTGGTTTACCATTTATCATATTACATTTTTCATTTTATGTTTGCTGCTGATATCTATCAACGTCGACATTTCATTGTAAAGCCGGTCTCCCAAGGGGAACAAGTTGAAACAGCTACTCTACACAATACGGTAGCACACGTTCTGCGTATTTGCTACATTACGGTAAGTTCATACAACTGTCTGAGTCCTGGCTGTTTGCAAACCCGAAGAACACTGCCATGTAAATTTCTTAGCAGTATGAACAGCATGCTGTAACGCCAGACCAAACAACACAAGGAGAAGTTTCAGGGTCACCTCGCTCTTTTAACTGAATCGGTAAGTGATGCTTTTTAGATTTACAATAATATTCGCTACATTTTTCAGGACTGCGTTTGACACTGATCCGCACCTCACATAGTTATACACAGCTACATACTTTATTTACGCCGTACTGCTGCTTTCAGGCTTTACGTACGATTTGAGGATCAACGCACGCTGGCCTGTTTTTTCTGAACCTGTCCTTTTCTGCTTGCCAGAGACAAAAGGTTTTGGTTTTCAGGAAATATTATTAACGTTACGCACATGGCAGTAGCGTAACCGAGTCGGGTTCAGTTTCAAACGCTGCTTAAGGGAAAATTAATTAATACATGCTTTGCGCATGTTCTTCACTGGCTTGTCTGAGTACTTGAATCCAGCGGTATGGATACTTTTTGCCAGCCCCTGCCAAACCCACGGGTATCGTTAATAATTCAACGTTGTGTTTGAAAAGTTGCCCGTCACGCTGTTAAAATGTAACGAGGCGTTTTTATTAGTTCAGTTTAACCACATGTTCTCGATCACAAGTCGTTGAAGTTTCTGTTATCATTACATGGCTTGCTGTTGTAGTAGTACCTGGACTGAGACTGAACACTACGCGCACTACGCGCACTGTGCTGCAGTAAATTCAGCATATCTCTTCTTCCAGAAACACCCGAGTGCTACGCTTGCTTTTTCTCCGCCTGTATTCCGACAACTCCCGCCCTCCTGTTTTGCCATTGGTTGGTACGAGCAGGCCGCCAAGCAACGACTTCTCTAAATATCCAATCCGAGCAGGGAGGCGGGACTCTACAGCCAATCCGAGCGCAGGAGGCGGGGATTTCCGGAATACGGGTGGGGTACGGGTTACCTGGACCTACTGAAGATTGATTATCACGACCTGTTTATACGCCTCGTTTCCTCTACTTTTGTAGACGGCGTGGCTATAATTTTACTTCCGGTCTTCCTGACTTGTTTTTGTGACGGTAAAGGTAAGAAATTAACGCCAAGAAAGTAAAAATCTTCCGTAGGATTTTGTTCCAACTGCCTGGACAACTCAGCTGTCGGTTTGAGCTCATGACAGAAGTCAGGCAGTTGGGACAAAATCCCGGGAGCATTGTTCAGTGTGTGACCCTAAACTACTCAGCGCTCGGGTTACTTAATTCCGTTAGCTATGTTTCACCATGACTGTGTTTTCCTCTCGTTTACAAAAACGTCCTTGTAATTCACAAATATAGCCACTTTCGCCCGCGAAATGTTTGAAATACGCCCACAAACATTTTTCTCTTAAATGTGTGAAAACACAGTGTTAGCATGTTAGCTGACCGATACGGTTGTGAAAATAATGGACGATAAATATTCCAGTTGTTCTATATAAATAATTTGGAAGTTGGTTAGCAGTTTTAGGAAGTATGTGGACTGCTTGGGACAATACTTATTCCCTACTTATTTCTTGCTTGTAGCTGCCTCATATATCTCACCTGACAATCAGATGGATGACTGCATGTCAGAGAAAGCCTGTTGGACTGCACCTGTCAGTCTGTGGTTTCATACCAAAATTTTACAGAAGCAAAGAGAATAGAGAAAAAAATAGAACACGAGAAATTCAGAAAGAAAAGCGAGTGCTCAGCTGTAGGTCAGGCACAGGTCTTTCGGCGTGAATTCCACGTGAATCATGCCTTTGTTGTTAATGAACGTTTTTGTACCCACAAACACACACACAAAGTTGGAAATGTTACTGTTTTCCCTGTACTATCTTCTCTTGTCTTTTGTAGCTTAGCTCAGTCTGAATAAACCATGACATTATCTCAGGCTTAAATGGCTAAGCCACACACCGAGGAACTAATACACTCTGTGATCCTCCAGCTGTTTTGCCTGTTCATTATCACATGCCATGCTAGTTTCACTGGTTTTGCAAAAGAGAGGCTTTGGCTCCCCCACCTCCAAAGACAATTTTTCCCTTCAGGGGTCGACTCATGTATATTATCAAAGCATAATTATCACAGCGGTAGTTGCTGTGTGTTTTCATCAGCCTCCAGCCAAGACTCGGAGGAATGGAATGGTGCTGTTAGCCAAAGGGGAAGATATGTTCTGAGTACTGTACTGTATGGCTGACAACCCTTAAGATTTGGATTAATAATAAAGATTGCCAGGGGCAAGATAAAGTGATTCAGAATTGGCAGAAGTGGCATTATACAACCCCTCCCAGCGTTGTGGGACTCTACATGAAGCACACATTCGCAGATATGGAAAGGTGCACGGGAGACAGAGGCATTAAAAAGCTACAGTGTTCAAGCTCAATTTGCAATCTTATAAGGAAAGTCTCTTATTTGAAATGCTTTGTGACACATACCTGCCATGCTGTTTTGCCCTCAAGGACGAAATGCTTGATTATGTTCTGTTGTTTGGAGAGGCTTGCTGCTGATTTATTTGAAGAGATGTCTTTGTTGAAGAGTGTGAAACAGTTCCATGATTTGCCATTAATTGCCTCTAAATGGTCTCTTTTGTGTGTGTTTGACAGAAGAGCGCTGGAAATGTAAATGCATCTCTTTGACTTATACTGATGAGCTCATATGCTAGGTGACCTGTGTCAGTACATGATTCCTGTTGCATACCAAAACAGCAGCTTTCACCATCTCATTCACCAGGAGCAGTTACCTTGCACAATGCTGAAACACAGTGTTTTAAAAGAAGCTGACCGTCGGGTCTAGAGCTTACCTACCTATATATATACATACACACATATAGCTGCTGTTGGATCAGAACCTTGTATCTCAAAAATAGTAACTTTACAGGAGAAAGAAAAAACCTACTTTACTTTTAATGAAAGTCAGTGGAACTAGACATTTTTCCATGTCATTTGGGCTGTTTTTGCACTTCCAGTTTATGTCAAAAACAAGGTTTTGTTCCGATATACACATACAGTTTGACCATAGTGTGTATTATTGACTTCTCTCTCTCTCTCTCTCCCTTAGCATTTTTATGATGAAATAGATTTTCAGACAGTGATCAACATGTTGAAAACATAGATTGTCTGTGAAGTATTAGTGGTCTTGCTCAGGGATGTTGATGATCATGATGAGTGGGTATCAAGAGACAATTCTGAGGGACACACAGCCCTTGCACTAGTCCCAGAGAGCACTGCACTCTGGATAGCACAAGCAGATGGTGACCTGCTTTCTGTTCCATCTTAACTCATCACTGAGTTGATTTGTCATGCACTGTCCTGTAAAAAATGCGAGGCTTATGTCATGCCCAAATACCCAATCATAGAAGAGACCTATTTTCCAGTGAAGTGACACATCATCAATACTTTCTCCTGTTTTCTTTGAATTTACTGTACTTGGCCTTGAGTACCTATTTTCTGGAAAATAAAGGAAGAATAAATACTTGTGAGGAACCTCAGAGTATGTGTCAAATGAGTAGCACCGGAATGTGGTGTACAAATCTAATTCCAAAAAAGTTGGGACAGTATGCGAAATGCTAATAAAAACTGAAAGCAGTGATTAATAAATTGTTTGACCAGTCTTAAATTGTAAGTAGTTCAAAAACATGTACAAAAACACAAAAATGTCTTGTTTTACCTTCATTTTTTAACTTCAGTGGGCTTCATTCACCAGACAATCTTAAGAAGAAATTTCTTCTTAAAACCCACTTAAACTATTTTCATGAAGATTCTGACATTCACCAGTGTTTTTTTTTTGGGGGGGATTTGTCTTTAGGTAAGAACAGAATCTATGCACACTGAAGAGCACTAAGGTGAGAACCATTCTGCGGTTTAAGAACATGTCATGAATCTGACGTAGGCTTTTTTTTGTAGGACTCCTTCTCAAGAACAGATTTAAGAAAAACTTAGGAAGATGTTGGCAAATGAGGCTCATTGTTCTTCGTAAATATATGGTCATTGCAAATTTGATACCAGAAACATGTTCCAAAAAAGGACAGCAGTTTCCTTTTAACAACACTTAATAATAATTTGGGGACTGAAGACAAAAGCTGATCTGGTTTTGAAAGCAGAATTTTTTGCCATTTTTCATTTACTCAAGTTTTCAGCTGTACAACCGTCTTTCCTTGTTGCGTTTTGCACACGTTTTTGATGAAAGACAGGTCTGGACTGCAAGAAGGCCAGTCTAGCACCCGCACTGATTAGGCAGCCATGCTGTTTTAACAGATCCTGGATTTTGAACTTTATGCTGGTAACAATCTGGATGGTCCTGTTCTTCATTCGGTTAGAGACCACATTGTTCTTTATCTGAGAGGCTGACTCCTCAGTATGTGTTTCCAGAAGTGTGTCAGTTTTTAAAGCAGTGCTGTCTGAGGGATCAGCGGTCACAGGCATTCAGCTGTGGGTTTTGACCTTGCTTTTTAAGCACAGAGATTTCTCAGGATTCCCTGAATCTGTTGTTGAAACACTCTCAGAATAAAATGTACCAAACTGTCACTGGGGCAGTACCCCTCTTGTCACTGGGGTGGTACCCTTAAGGGCACGTCTCAGTACCTTTAGTCAGGGAACATAACTGTACCATAATCCATTGAAATTATGTTGTCTTAAGTTGTATTGACTCCACACGCCCTGTCTCGTCTCCAGGCTTTTTATTTTATTGTTCTGTTTTAAAACATTAGGCTATGAAAAGGTACAAATACATACTTTTCACCTAAGAACAACTTATTTAGGGTACACAACTGGACCCTAAAACCACTGTTGTACTTTTGAGGGACGTTTACATTGTTTGTACCTTTAATGAATGAAAAATGTACCTGCACAGAACCTTTATTTCTAACAGTGTACCATGCAGTGTAGAGAGTAAAATATCTAAAATCTTTGCAGTTGCATGCTGATGAACTTTAATTTTTTAACTGTGGGACTTTTCCTGCTGTATTTTGGCAAAGTGCTGAGCCTGGACCCATCCTTGCTCACAAAAGGCTTGATTGTATCACCTATTTAGGATGTTCTTTGAATATTTCACAATGTTCCTAGTATTAAGTTGCTCTTGTCACAGTTTTTGTGGAACATGTTGCAGGCATTTTTTGAGAATGAGTGTATATTTACAAAAAGAAAACAATGAAGCTGATAACGTAAACCAATAAATATCTTGTCTTTGTACATTTTTGGTCAAATAGATACATAGCAGATTTATAAATCACCGTTTTCTGTTTTTATCTGCATTTCATACTGTCCCAACATTTTTGGATTTGGGTTTGTAATATTTCATGTTTGTTCAGTAGAAATATAACAAAGTGTAATTCAGAAGTAAATTATTCTTGTCAGTATGATGGCTGCTCTTTCCAGTTTCCTTGAAATTATATCTCCATAGTAGTTAATGAAAAAAGGTTTAATTTTGCATACCTGCCCACAAGACATGGCTTAATACCCACTGGTTCTGGTTTCCAGAACTGCTATATACAAATCATCACAGAGAGGCATTCAGTTTATTTCCTGCACAAAAATAGGCAGATTTTTTTTTAAAACTAATTATTTGGACCAGCTTAGCCACCAGACTTAAGAGCTGTGAGCTTGCACTTATTGTGTGTATAGAGCTTAGGTGGATAGCGTGGGTGGAAAAATTGGGGCAGGGGTTGTTTCTCTCTGCAGTTTCCAGTTTAATTTCCTCCAGTGCTGTTGTGTCAGCATGGCACCACTCTTCCTCAACATGAGCAGATGTCCTCCCCTGGATTTCTCAGGCTAGATTACAAACCTAGGTAGCAAAGGCTCTTTATGAACTGCCCTTTTGCCTGTTTGGTGTAAGTGATAGGGCTAGGCAGTATGTGCGTCACACGATCTGCACCAGAATGAAGAGAATTTTTGATAACAGTTGAAGTTTGAGAACAGTTTGTATCTTGTTCAGCATCTCTTTACATGTGAATTTAATAGGTTTTCTTTAAATGTGAGCAAAAACAGTGTAGGTAGTGTAAAAGGTGTGCTTTAAATCCTTTTTCAGATGACAGATTGTCTGTCTATAAAGACAGTAGCAGTGATTTTACTTTAACACTT